ATTTTACTTCAAAAGCGCATGTATTGATAAAAAAATCTTCCTGAAGACTGACAATGAGGTGGTTAGATACAATCCAAAAGAAGGTAGATGGAGCTTGGTTCGGGTAGGGATGAGTTATTTTGAGGGTTCAGATTCTTCTTGCGAGATAGAGAATGTTTTGTACACTGCTTATGGAGGAACGATCAGATGGTATGACACTAAAGTAGATACGTGGACGTGGAGAAAGTTGAAGGGTTTGGTAGGAATACCTAAGTTCGGAGGTATTAGATTGGCTGGTTATGGTGGAAAGATGATGGTTTTGTGGGACGAGAGTTTTCCTTACAGGCATCAGCTTTGTGGCTATAAGACGATGATTTGGTGTGCGGAAATTGCGCTCGAAAAACGCAAAAATAATGAAATTTGGGGGACAGTTGAGTGGTCTGGTCATGTGCTTACAGTACCTTGTACATATCGTTTCGTGAAGGTTCTTGCTGCTACTGTTTGATGAATGAGTCACAAAGCTTGAACATGCTTTTTTCCCGATGGTGTGTTTTTCTTTTGGTGAAACTAGGATGAATGACCTAACTTTTGTTTCACTTTTTATCGTTTGATGTCACTTGTTGATCGTTAAGCTTATTTTATGACAAAAATGTCTTTGAAGCATCTATGTTTTGATATGTGATCCTTGTGAACACTCTATCAATTTATATATGTCAATTATTTTCTTGACCATTATTTTTTAAAATTATATGTATGTTATCCAATAAGAAGGCCAAGCCCATTTTTCAATGTAAAAGAATGACGCTGGCCCTAAATTTCCATAACTTCACTTATCAAAAATATAACCATTGTTTTTTTGTGACCCTAGTGAAGAAGAGCCGTCTCGTAACACTGCTGCCGGAGTACCATTACACAAACACAACTTGACGGAAACACAATACTTTTTTGTCCCGTTAATTGCGTCAATGTCGTCTCCGGAGACTACGAAGAAGAAGCAGAAGCCATCACTTCCCGATGATTTATTATTGAGCTGCTTCGCACGCGTCTCAAGATTGTATTATCCGACTCTCTCCCTCGTCTCCAAGAGCTTTCAATCTCTCCTCGCTTCACCGGAGCTTTACAAGGCCCGATCACTTTTAGGCAACGACGAGAATTGTCTCTATGTGTGCTTAGGGCTCTCTACTTCTCTAAACCCTAGCTGGTTCACGCTCTGTCGGAAACCGGAAAAAACCCTAACTAATGACACGAACTCAAGTAGGTATGTTTTGGCTAAAGTCCCATTACTTCATTCTCCTCAAGCGCATTCTTCAAGTTGGTTCTAATATCTACAACATTGGTGGTACCATATACCGAACACCCTCTTCTAGCATCTCGATTTTTGATTGCCGGTCTAGCAAAGGGGTGGTTGCTTACAATCCCAATGAAGGTATATGGGACATGGCTGGACCATATTGGATGGAACAGTTAATACGTTCAGATTCTTATTGCGAGATAGAAAACGTTTTGTACTTTAATTTTGACGGAGTGTTTGAATGGTGTGACACTAAGGTAGGAATGTTGAGTAATTTAGAGGGTTTGGTAGGACTACCTAAGTTCCCTTATGGTGCTTGTGTTAGATTGGCTGATTATGGTGGAAAGATAATGGTTTTGTGGGACAATGATTTTCCTTGTAATGGGCTTGATGGCACTGACAGCTCTAAGAAGATGATTTGGTGTGCGGAGATTGCGCTTGAAAGACGTAACAATAGTGAAATTTGGGGGAAAGTTGAATGGTTTGGTCACGTGCTTACCGTCCCTATAAAATATGGTTTCGTGAAGGTTCTTACTGCTACAGTTTGATGAAATGTGTTACAAGGTTTGAACGTACGTATGTTCTTCTGGTAATATTATTTTAAATTGGAATATGTGTGTTCTTTTGCTGTATGCAACTACTGTATGATGAATCACATCTAATCATTTGATGCCACTTGTTGATTGTTAAGCTTATTTTGTGACAAAAATGTCTTTGAAGCATCTATGTTTTGATGTGTCCTTGAACCCAAGCTCCGTTGTTTGTTGATTGACTTATGTACAGTACTCTATCAATTTCTTTGAAACAGTCTGGAGGCTTTTTTATTTGATATTTTGGAAATATGTATTTGGATTACTTCTCGAATATTTTCATCCAATTATGTTGCCGATATAATCGAGCTAGCCTGTAAGATGTAATTGAGATAAGTATCACGTTGTTAACAATACATGGCACTGGAAGAGTAAAAATGGTTTAGATTTTCATTGCCTATAAGGTGCATTTCAAGCACGTAGCTGCCATTCGAATTCCTCGGGTTTTGAAAGCAATTGTAGACTTGTAATGTCAACATCTCTAGATAAAATCCACCAGAGCAAGTAATTTAATTTTGGGGAAATTTTCATTTTCCAAGTGATGTGTTTTTCAATTCGGGATTACCGTGAGGTCGAGTTACGTCTTCACCAGAGTTTCATGGTTCATGACTGTGCAACCATTAACCAGAGCTATTGATCTCCACATCTTCCATTTGTTCATGTATTCCGGTCAATGTTGTTGGCTGGTAGAGGCGGGTCAATGGGATTAAGTTATCACTATAAATCTTAATATGTGTTTAAATTTTTTGAGAAAAGTAAGTATGTGTGGGTTACAAAACTCCTTATTTTATAGTGTCTTATTTTTTTCAGGAAAAATGTAATTTTTGTTGTAATAGGATTTTAATAACGAACTACGTTTGAGACAACAATAAATAACTATATATATATATAGATGCCAAGAAAAATGAGCTAATAAATAATGATGGTGTTTCTGTACTACATGACAAAATAGTTGTTGATAATATTCAATATCTAACTTGATTCATTTCTTCACTTTTAACCAAATAAAACACACACACAAATACATATAAGAACAACCAATATGTAATAACAAATTATTTGGTAAAGAAATAATATCTTTGTTGCTAATTAATGTTTGTACCCCATAACTAATTACTGGTTTGAAATAATGTGGTCAATATATCATAACAAATGTTCAAACTTACATGTTATTGTTTTTTCTTTTTCTTTTTGATAAAACGTACAAGTTATTGTTGACTGATCATATCAGAAATTTCTACCTAACCAATAATTATTAACATGGTGGAGGACTATATGTGTTTGATAAGCATGCTAAAAAGATTCTCATAAAAAAGGATTCATCATCATTAGCTCCTGAGATGACAAACTTTGAGCTCATTTTCTTCCTCTTTTACTTTGAATATGACCTTTGTGGGTTTTCACATTTTTCCACAACTAAAACTAAAATATCATCTAAGCAAATTTAAAAGAGGAAAAAAAAGTAAAAAAGAAAGAAAGAAAGAAAGGACATAAGACTATGTAATGCGCACATACAGTATTTCTCTAGAGCCAGCAAGATTTTCTCTACAAGAGTTAACCTCTTTAAAATCATATTCCTTATAAGCACATGTGCATAATTAAGACATATAGTTATACGAATATGATTTAGTCTCTAGGTTCATTAAAAATCTAATTGAACTATAAAATACAATTTTTTAACATGAATTATACTAAAAAAAAAAGAGTGGGTTTCAATGATATGACTTCCAGTTTCCGAAAAAATCATTGAAACTCACTCTCTTTTTTATAGTATAATTCATGTTAAAAAATTGTATTTTATCATTTCTATATCCACAAATACATATATGAGTGTATTTGTGAACCTCAGCCCTAATATAAGGGGACTTTCTTTCTCATTAATGATACATACTGATGATAATATAAAAGCATTTTCAAAAAATATGGTATAAGCTAAAGCTACTTTGCAACTTTTGCCCATCACAAAAAAATAAATCGAATATTTGCTTTACTTATTCCTTAAAATTATCAAACTGTAAAACCAAATGTATGATTATTATTTTCTTCAAGCGATGTGTGATTGATCATAGTGGTACACTACATAGGTGAGACGAGAGATTTCCCCAACCAAATTCTCTGTTTATCTTTTATTTAACAACTCAAAATATCTTTTCATCATCAAAAGAATTTGACGGAGAAAAAGAAAATTGGTTTTAGCCCAAGTGACATTTCTTAAAATATATTTTGAATTTTTTAGCACAATATATTCTTAGTGATAAGATTATTTCGATGATGGAAGTTTGTTTATCCTTTTTTCTGATTAATTGTTTCTTAGATAGCTAATTCAAGAGGAAATAATATGAACAAAAATATGGACGTACGTAATTTAAAAATTGTTGGTGTGATAGATAATTCAAGAGAAAATGATTCTAACAAAAAACATGGATGGTAATTTGAAAATTGCTGATGTGATATTCTTCTACACCAAATTTTAAGTGAGAAATAGAATCATGGACATATATACATCTTTTTTTGGTCAATAATATATATGCAATGCACGAATTGAAACATGGATAATGACATATCAACGACATTAACACAAACCACTACATTATAAGTTTTGGTCTTGACAGTACATTTTTGTTTTAACAGAAGAATTAGAGGTAACTAATATAAATGAATTGGGTAAGAAACTCTTTCAGTTTTCTATCTTATCTAAAAATATGTTCACATTTTCTAGTAAACAAAAGTAATCTTTAAAATTCACATTTTCTAGTAAACAAAAGTAATCTTTAAAATTTACATTTTTAATAATTCTAAAAACATATTTATATTATTGGAAACAATTCATGTTAAAAAAAGATATTTGAAGTACGGACGATTGTTATAACGCAGATAACTGAATGTCAATTTGATACAAAAGTTGTGAAGGAAACAAGGAAATTTTCTTTAAAAACACAAAATCTTAAAGAAATTTTGTGAATGTGTTTATTTTCAAAATATTTACAAAAAGTAAAGATATTATTTAGCAAACTGCATATCGTTTTGTATCATGAAATGAAACGTGGACATCTAAATACGGGGTCGATACCTGTCGATTCTACAAAGCTCATTTATCTATCGTCTCGTAAGTCGTGCCCGAGAGCTTTGAGACGCGATTTCTTCTTCGTGAGTCGCCACCGGAGATCGCCTCTCGCCGGTCGACGAGAACGTCTTCTTTCTTCCTCCTTCTTTCCTTTCTGGATTATGTTGTCTGTCGCCGATTCCCATCGAGTTCGCCCTCCAGATCCGCCAGATCTAGCCCCGCCTGATGCCGTTGCTTCTTCCGCCGCATCTCCTCTAGCTTCTACGAGTTCTCCTCAACCTTCTCCGAGTTCTCTCCCTCCGTCAGTTCCCCCTCCTTCCGTAGCCCTAGCTCCTCAGTCCGCCGCCTCTGCTCAGGTCTCTCCGAGTTCTCTGCCTCCGTCAGATCTGAGCTCGTCGGGATCCCAGTCTCTCTCTCCCGCCGCCTCTGCTCCGGTTTCTCCGACAGCCTTAGCTCCAGCCTCGATTCCGGAAATGGTACCTTCTACCGCAGCACCTTCATATGCCGAGCGGTTCAAGGCGTCGTTAAGGAATCTAAAAAAAATCAAGTCTCCGGTTTGTGTCGAAGATGGCACGCCTGTAGTTCAAGCTCCAGCCTCAATACTGCTAAAGGCAGCAGATCAATGGAAAGGTCACATTGTTGCTCAGTTCCACGGTCTGATCCCTCCTCCTTCAAAGATCTTCAACGATCTGAACCCGGCTTGGGGAAAGTTCGGGAATATTCTGATCCGTTCGGTGTCGGATACGTCATGCCTCATTATGATACCGTGTAAATCGACCAGGGATTGGGTTTTACAGGTAGGGTATTGGCAAGCAGGGAACTGTTCCTTTTCAGTTTATCCTTGGTCTGTTGATGCCTCGCTTCATCTCCCAGAGTTGGAATCTGCACCGACTTGGGCTATTTTGGAGAATGTTCCGCCGCAGATGTATTCTTTGGACGGCATAAGCGTGATTGCTAGTGCGATTGGGGAGCCTCTTCACACTGAGAAGTCGAGGCTTGATCCTTTTCACTTTGGCAACACAAAGATTAAGGTGGAGATTCCTCTTGACAAGCCTCCACCTACGACGATCATTGTCAGAGATAGTCAATTGAACTCAGTGAAGGTTAAAGTCTCCTACCCCAGACTTCCACCAAATTGTTGTAATTGTGGTCGGTTTGGACATTTGTTGAATAGGTGTCCCAAGCCTCTCATGAGGAAACAACAAGCTAGGGGTCCGAATGGAGGGTTTGTTCCAGGGGGTACTGCAGTTGCGGTTTCCTCAATTCCTTTAGCTTCTGGAGAGGTTGCCTCCAAGTCTCGGGATGGAGGTAAGTCTGATGGTGAAGTGGGGTCTAGTCTGGCAGGGGTTGGTTTGAAGTCTAATGTCAGGACTAGGATAAGGGCTGGTTCTAGAAGGAGATCCACGGTCAGAAGTAGAAGTTCTCCTCCCTTGAAAGATAAAGACAGTCATCGGAGTGATGAATCAATGTCAGTTCAGACTCAGGAGACAGTTAAGGCTTGGATAAAGGAAAGGAGTGAGAAGAAGCTTCAGGTGTCGCAGGTTTATGAGGCTGACACTACTAAGGAAGAGAATTGGATTCTGGTGGGAGGGAAAAATAAGGGTAAAGAAAAGGTTTCATCTGAAGTGGCTCCCTCTGTTGGAGTGGTTTTTTCTAAGCCTGGGTTTGCTATGGCAAGAAGAATCATTCCTGGTGTGAGAAGTGTCAAGAAGCTTGCAAAGTTGGAAGCTAAGATGATGTTTGTTAAGAAACCTATTAAGAGGAACTACCAGCCTAAAGGTGTGAGGGAGGCTGGGGGTAATGTATCTTCTAATTCTTCATCTTCTCAGGATAATCGAGCTGACTCCTCGGTTATTCCTTCTATCCTCTGTTAGAGCATAGTTCTACCAGTCTTTTGGCAGTATTAATGATAGTTTTTGGATGGAATATAAGAGGTTTGAATAGCCTATCTCGACAGAGATTTTTGCGGTCCTGGATGAGGAAAAATAAGCCTATGTTGGGCAGTGTTTTGGAGACTCGGGTCTCAGTGGAAAATTCGCAGCAGGTTTTTCAGGCGACATTTCCAGGGTGGAGGAGGGAGATGAATTATGAGTTTGCTGAGAATGGTAGGATTTGGGTCGTTTGGGATCCTGCGGTTTCAGTTATTTGTTTTCATAAATCTGCTCAGATAATGTTGTGTGGAGTCTTCAATCCAGCAACAAAGGAGAACTTCTCAGTAGCTTTTGTTTACGCTTATAATACTCAGGTACAAAGAAGGGAATTATGGGAAGAAATCTCAGGTATTGTGCAGTCTTCTCCAGCAAGGTACTTGCCTTTGATGATTTTGGGAGATTTCAACCAGATTGTTTTTGCTAATGAGCATTATTCTGTGCTTCCTCATGATCTACCTCTCTCTGGGATGTCAGAGTTTCATGATTGCTTGGTGTCTAATGAGCTGCAGGATATGCCTAGTAGAGGGACTCTCTATACTTGGTCTAATAATCAACCAGATGATCCGGTTCTTAGGAAGCTGGATAGAGTGTTGATTAATGAGCAGTGGAGTAGTACTTACCCAGATTCTTTAGCAGTGTTTGACCCTCCAGGAGATTCAGATCACTCTCCTATTTTGGTTAATTCCTCTTCACTCATTGGGAAAAGTGGAAAATCTTTCAAGTATTTCTCCTTTCTCTCTACTCATGCAAGGTTTAAAGGTCTTATAAGAGATGCTTGGCAGGTTGAGGTGTGTGCAGGCTCTAAGTTATTTATTTTTGGTCAAAGAATGAAGGTGGTCAAAGTGTCTTGCAAAAAGTTGAACAGAGAGGGTTTTGCTAATATTCAACAGAAAACTAAAGATGCTCTGGAGATGTTGGAGCGTGTGCAGTCGGCTCTTTTGAGTGCTCCTTCTGATCTGTTGTTCAGAGAGGAATTTTTGGCAAGAAAAAGTTGGAATTTCTTTGCTAAAGCTCAGGAGTCTTTTTACAGACAGAAGTCGAGGATCAGGTGGTCTAGAGATGGCGATGCAAATACTGCTTACTTCCATAAGTCTGTAATTGCTCACCAGGGGAGAAACTGTATCAAGCTTTTGAGGGGTACCGAAGATGAGAGAATTCAGAATGTTGATCAGATTAAAGATATGTTGGTGTCTTATTATCATTCTCTCTTGGGCACTGAAAGTGTTGGAGTTGTTGCTATGTCCATTGATGAGGTCAAGACTCTGCTTTCCTTTAGATGTGACTCGGAGTTGAATTCTCAGCTTCTTAAAGTTCCCACAGTTGAGGAGATTAGAAGGGTGGTGGCGACAATGCCAAAGAATAAGGCTCCTGGACCAGATGGCTTTCCAGTTGAGTTCTTTTGGGAGGCTTGGGAGATTGTTGGTCAGGATTTGGTTGAGGCTGTACAGGGGTTTTTTATTTCTGGGTTCTTACCAAGGAATTTTAATGCCACAGCGATCACGTTGATTCCCAAGGTTCAGGGAGCAGATAAACTTCAGCAGTTCAGGCCTGTTTCATGTTGTACTACTGTCTATAAAATCATTGCTAGGCTGCTGAAACAGAAGCTGAAATTGTTCATCTCAGATGCAGTCCAGGGGAATCAGGTGGGGTTTGTTCAGGGGAGACATCTTTGTGAAAACGTGCTACTTGCCTCGGAGCTGGTCACCAACTTTCATTCTGAAGGTGTCACGACTCGGGGTTGTCTTCAGGTAGATTTGGCCAAAGCGTATGATAATCTTGACTGGCAGTTCCTTTTGAATGTTCTAAATGCTATTGAATTGCCTGACAAGTTTGTGGGATGGATTAAAGAATGCTTCACTACTCCTTCTTTTAGTGTTGCATTTAATGGTGAGCTTGTGGGATTCTTTCAGGGGAAGAAGGGTCTTAGGCAGGGAGATCCCATTTCTTCTCTATTGTTTGTTTTGGCTATGGATGTATTATCTAAAAAGCTGGATAAAGGAGTGATTAATCAAAGTTTCGGGCCTCATCCGCATTGCTTGGTTCCTCTTATCACACATCTTAGTTTTGCTGACGATGTATTGATATTTTTTGATGGGAAGGAGGATTCTCTTCAGGGGGTTATGGACATTCTGGAGGAGTTTAAGGCAGAATCGGGTTTAGGGGTTAACAAAGATAAAACTGCGCTCTTCTTGGATGGTGGTTGTATTCAGGAGAACTCTGAAATGGCAAACAGACTTGGTCTTCTGCAAGGCTCTCTGCCTGTTAGGTATCTGGGTGTCCCTCTCACTTCAAAGAAAATGAAAGAACAAGATTACCAACCGCTTATTGATAGAATCCTCAGCAGGTTCAGCTCTTGGTCTGTCAAGCACCTGTCTTTTGCTGGTAGATTACAACTCATCCAGTCTGTAATTTACTCCATCATTACCTTCTGGGCCTCCATCTTTATTTTGCCTAATAAGTGTTTGGAAACTATTGAAAGGATGTGTTGTGCTTTCTTATGGAAAGGTTCTCCTTTTTCTGCTCGCGGGGCTAGAGTTAGTTGGGAGTCGGTGTGTACTCCAAAGTCTTCGGGTGGACTGGGATTGAGACGGCTGCAGCCTTGGAACAAGGTCCTAGGGTTAAAGTTAATTTGGCTCCTGTTCACAGCTGGAGGTTCATTATGGGTATCTTGGGTAAGGAGGAATTTATTGGGGCAGAACAACTTCTGGGAAATGGTCACAATTAACTCAGGGAGCTGGATTTGGAAGAGCCTTTGCAAGCTCAGACCTATTGCTAGGCCTTTCGTTGTTTGCAAGATTGGTTCTGGAATCACTTGCAATTTTTGGAGTGATAATTGGACTGCTTTGGGGCCATTGTTGCATATCACTGGAGACTTGGGTCCTAGAATTACAGGATTGCCAAGACATGCAACTGTGGCAGATGCTTTAAGAGGAAATGATTGGTGGATTTCTAGAAGTAGAAGTAGACATCCCATCATTCAACTATTGAAAGAGTGCCTACCATCTCCTGCTGTGGTACAGGTCCATGATGAGGCTGATGATGACTGTTTTCTGTGGAAAGTTGGAGAGAAAGAGGCTTCTTGCAGCTTCTCCTCAGCCTCTACTTGGGAACACTTGAATCCCCATGGGGAAGATGTAGACTGGTTTAAGGCTATTTGGTTCAAAGGTCGAATTCCAAAACATGCTTTTTTGGCATGGGTTACTGCTCGTAATAGGCTCAACACGAGGGACAGATTGTTAAGTTGGGGATTGGTCGTTCCTTCTTTATGTCTGTTTTGCAATGCTCACGATGAATCTAGGCAACATCTCTTCTTTGATTGCGCCTTCGCTGCGGAGGTATGGAATTATTTTACCTCAAGGGCCCATGTAACTCCACCTTCTTTATTTGAGGATGGTCTTAGATGGCTAAGGAATCCTTGCCGAGACAAGAATATGGCTACTATTCTTAGACTCGCCTTTCATGCCTCAATATATATCCTTTGGAAAGAAAGAAATGCTCGGATACATACCTCAATCTTTAGACCTGTGGCGGCCTTGATTGTGGAGATCAAAGGATTATTGCGTTGTCACTTGGATCCTCTTACAAGAGCTCAGCGTCTAGGTCCTCATGGTGTGTCCTTTTTGGCCACTTGGTTTGAGAGGTTTCTTGTGTAATGTGCTCTAGAGCTTTGTTTGTTATTGTAGGTGTATCTCATTATTGGAGGCACTGTTGTTGTAATCGGTACCAAGACGTTCTTGGTTGTATGAAAGTAAGTTGTTTTTTTTTTAAAAAAAAAAAAAAAAAAAAAAAAAAAAAAAAAAAAAAAAAAAAGAAACGTGGACATCTATGGGGTGAGAAGTGGTCTGCGAGTCAAAGGAAAAGCAATGAGAGAATAGGTATTTATAAAATAGAAGTCTATAAGTTTTATAGGCTCAGTTTGTGTCTGTCTCTTCTAAGTCCTAGCCCTAACTCCCTACCTATATTTCTCTCCACCAATCACATCTCCCTCTTCTTTTTCTTCCATACATGAAACTATAGTGTATAGATAGATTACGAAATTTCGAATACAGAAATCTTATGAAATATATCAACAAAGATGTCGACTGGTTTACCCTAACCCTCTATTTCAATATAGCAGCTACAAATCCATCCGATATATATCAAACCATAAAATTAAGAGTAATGGACATTATACTCGTTTGTAGTAGGGTTTATATATGTCTTATATATTTGTTGTCTTTCTTCTCTGTATAGCAGAAAAAAAATTGTAATTCCTAAATTTTTGATGATAATAAAACCGGCAACCACGAAAAGTGGACGTAACTCTCATATTAATGGTGTGAACTAATAAAATCGGCAACCACAAAAAATTAACATAACTAGTAAAGGTGAAGTACTAAACATTTTGTGTCGTTTTAGTTTTCTAAATGAAATATTTTTTTAAAGATAGAAATTGGAATATAAGCTTTTTAACAAAAATAATATACAAGAATCACTTGCATTGATGGTTACCTCCCAAGAAACTCCATCTCTCTTTCAGGTATACAAATTGGTTTCGACCAAATTATTGTAAGTTTGTAACACATATATCCATATCTATCTATCTCTCTATACCGAAAAGATGAATAATTAGTTCTATCATGAAATTTTAATTCTTTTTTTCCTTCGAAATCTAATATGAGATGAAGTTTTCCAGTCATATTAAACATTGAATGTCTCCGAATATCTTGTTTTTTTTGGTGGGGAAAAAGTATGTCTCCAAATATCTAAGAAATGAAAAAACGAAAAATAAAATATACTGTCCATCTTTATATAAGATGAAGATGCCAATATTATCTTCTAATAAAGCAGAAGCGAGAAAATGAAGGAGATGGGGTTGCTATCAAACAACAAAGCAACGCCCACGTGAAGGATAACCAAATAGGCCTTAGACTTGGTCCCTTTCGTTTTCTCTTCCCACTTTTCTTCTCTTTGCCATCACCACTTTTTTTCATTACCCTAAATCACTATCACTCCCACAACCTCCAGCTTAACCTTATCCCATCCACACAACACTTACTAAGACCACTTCCTTATTAATTAATTAAAAGGGCTTGCATGTTGCATCATCAACTACCCACTATGGTACATACATGGTAGTTAAGATAACTAGTTAAGAAAAGTTCCTTGTGCGAGCCTTGTCTACTAAGTTGAACTCAGTATAATGAGCTTTCAATACTACAAGCTAAGTTCACTACTTACCTTTGATGAAAAATCATACAACTAACTTTAATTTGAGTCTGTAGTGAAGTAAGAGCAAAATCGATTGTGCCTCCCAAGTCCGAAACCAAACTATATTAATCTTTTTCTTTGGTTGCTTCTAACATAGACTATGATTATATCATAAATCCTATTATATAGAATAAAAACTTTCAAAGTTCAAAGTTTAAAATTTAATTCAGATTTACATTTGTTAAAAATAGTGAATTCAGTTATCAAAAAAAGAAAATAGTGAATTTAGGTAACATTCGCTTCTATATATTTGTGTATTATGTTCTGTAAATGTTATTTAAATCGAATTAGTGTATTCTGTTCCACAAAAATTATTTAGATGAAGATTAACAGAAGATATATACCAAAACTATTCAATGATGTTATAGTTTTAATTGTTTTTGTGAAATATCCAAATTAATAAATGAAAATTGATATAGTTTGTAAACTTTCATTAAAAATAGTGAAAGTGAATATAACAAAAGCATTAATTAGCCATAGTCCCTCCTTTTGCTTTGGACAACCTTTTGAAGCAGAAGGTAGGGTAACCTCAACCGAAGGAACTAATCCATATTAGTAACGACCGAACCAATCCATATTAGTAAAGACTGTCTCTCCTGATTCTATTTAAATAGTATTAAAAGATATTTACTGAAGTGATAGAGTTATATGATGTATAGTTAAAAGAAAAACATATAGTGCTTTAATTTTTTTATTTTCTACAATATCTTTTGTCCATCTTCCTCTAGCTATCAACCTTTATAGCACAAGCACACACAACCACTAATGAACCAAAGGGCTTGAGTGAAGAAAGGAAAAAGAAGATTCTGTTTTCGTTACCTAGTTCTCTCTTCAATCTAATGTTTCCTTCTCTAGATACCAATGGCTATGACCTCTTTGATCCCTTCAATCCCCCACAAACAACCATGCTTCCTTCTTTCACTACTCACATTCAAAGCCCTAGTTCTCACAATCACTACTCTTCGCCTTCTTTTCCTTTCTCTCCAGATTTTCTTGACAGTTTTGATGAATCCTTGTTGATAAACCAATTCTTGTTACAGCAACAAGATGCAGCAGCAAATGTTGTTGAATCTCCAAGAAAACTTTGCAAGAAGCTTCAGCTTAAGAAGAATAATGAGAAGTGTGTTGATGGAACCATTTCAGAACAAGTTCCACGGAGAAGAATGGCCAAAAAGAGGGACAGACATAGTAAGATCTGCACGGCTCAAGGTCCTAGAGATCGGAGGATGAGGCTGTCTCTTCAGATTGCTCGCAAGTTTTTCGATCTTCAAGACATGTTGGGTTTCGACAAGGCGAGCAAGACGATTGAATGGCTTTTCTCCAAATCAAAGGGTTCCATCAAACAACTTAAAGAAAGAGTGGCTGCATCGGAAGGAGGAGGAGAGGATGAACATCTCCAGGTTGATGAAAAGGAAAAGGATGAGACAATGAAGGTGAGAGTCTCAAAGAGAAGAACAAAGACTATGGAGAGCTCTTGTAAGACTAAAGAGTCGAGAGAGAGAGCTAGAAAACGAGCAAGAGAGAGAACAATGGAAAAGATGAAGATGAGATTATTTGAGAACTCGGAAACAATTTCAGATCCTCATCAAGAAACTAGAGATCAGATCAAGATAACCAGTGGTGTACAATCACTAGAAAGGGAAAATAAAGAACAAGAATGGAGTCATACTAATGTGAACATGGTAGAGTATCAAATGGATTCTGTGAGCATCATAGAGAAGTTTCTTGGACTAACCAGCGACTCTAGCACCTCTTCCATCTTTGGTGACTCCGAGGAATGCCACACAAGTCTTAGCTCAATAATAGGTACTACTTCACAAGCAGGTAACGGCAATGTGTTAATTAAAAACCCTAATTAAGAAATGCAGTTTTGATTAATGTTGGCTTTTTGCTAATTCCAGGAATGTCGACACCAAGGGAACACAACACAACTTCAATAGCAACGGTAGATGATGAGAAAAGCCCTATTTCATCTTTCTCTCTATATGATTATCTCTGCTACTGATGATCATGAGTCTCCACCTTATGAGGTATTTGGACTTTATGATCTATGCATCAACATTAGAGCCTCATGAGCAGAATCTATTATATAGAAATGTAGCTAGTGATTTGGTGTGTGAACGAGAGGGTTTGGTCAGCCTAATTTGTTTGAGGCTTTGGACTGCTTGATTGATGGATATCTATAAAATCTAAATTCTATTTTTCTGGTGTCATTTCTTGCAAGTTTCTAATTCTCTGGCATTTATTTTTGTCGTTGTTTGTCTTCTATAATTAGTCAAATAAGTGCCTTTTTATATGTTAGTGTTGGGAAAATTTCAAAGGTATTTCACAAGCACACACAAACAAAGCCAACTTATAAGATTGTGATGGGCACAAATCGCTAGTCTAAGTATAGGAGCTTTAATTACCACATTCCAAGATGTGTAAGATAAGACAATAATTTAGATATGTTAGACTTTGTTCTACTTATTTTGTCAATTAACCATATGTATGAGTATTTACTAGTGTTCTAAGAACCACTTAGATGGTATTTATGTATTATACATACACATGTATAGTACTGATTTTGTCATAAATTAAACGTTGTGTCTAGCTACTACTGGAAACTGTTTTCAAACTAGACATTGATTAAATCATTTTGAGTTAAACAGATCATCGTTTAAAGCAGGTTAGAAGTTAGTTAATTGTTTTTAGATTACCTATTTTGCTATTTGTATATATATTTTAGGGAAAAAAAATTCATTTTTTTAGGACTGAATTGAGAAAATGTTTTCCTATAAACTCATACAATTCTTTTTTTTAGCCACTCCGACTTCCACCATGTCAATTTTTCTCCCAAGTTCTCAATCACTGTTTTTCTTCTACTTTCTTGAGTTGGGTGCAGTGATATGCTTGAATTTACACTAGGTTCTTTATTAGAAAAGAAAACACTTTCTTAACAGGTTAGCACCAACGAGTTTCCTTGACATTTTCCCTGCTTGCATGGCAAAAACCTCCATGCATCTAATGATTTAATAAAATATACCCTTTTTACCAAAAAAGTGAAATTGATTATCAACATAACGAAATTCTATAAACTTCTACCAATATATAATGAACGAACGGAAACTCTCAACAATCAACATCAGAAATGACAATGTTTCTCCTTCGAATTTCAGTGTGAGTTGAAGTTCTAACCATGAAAAAAACTAATCGAAGCATAAGTTATCAAAAAACGAAAAGAAAAACAAAGTGAAACTTATGTTTAATCAAAACGTTAAAATAAAAATGAAATAGCAATGGATCATGATCATCATCATCATCATGCCCTAGCGGTAGCAGAAGTTGAAGTAGCAAAATACCAATGATACATGGGCCTTAGGCCCAGAAACATCAAATGTTCTTCTAAATAATGGGTTCACTAATACACTAATTTTAAGGTCATACGTGGGTAAATATCAAGATCGGTCCAACCAAAACTGAGACGAAGATAATCTATAAGCAGATTATTTTTTTGATAAATCCAAAAATCGAACCCAATATTAGTAAGGACCAAACCAAACCAAATAAACCGAATTAAAATTTTGTATGAATTAAATAAGACTGTAGATATAATCATATTAAATTGATTAAATCATTAAATCTTAATATCAAACTGCATCAAACCGAATAAATCTAATTCTGTAAAACAAACACAACCAAAATCTAGAAAAACCGAACACCTCTAAACAGATCATACCACCAAAAAAAAACTAATTCTATATAAGAATTTAAGATACCACGAGAAGATAAAGTACTAATATAAAGTTTTAACATGACATTTGGCCATTCTTCTCTTTAGGTCCTCTTAACGTTGTTTATTTTTCTTGAGAAATCGCTCTTGTTCTAATAATATTTTCGGTATTCAAATTCTTAAAAGCCAATGCGTCAAAAACTCATTCTTGAAAAACATATATACTGTAACATTAACCAATAACAACTGACTTTATCAACAAAAAAAACATTTAACTACTGCAAAACATGACTATACTATACTGTAAAATTGTGCATACATATTCTTTCTTTTCTGCCATAAAAACAAAATGCATAGGTTTCAGGTTGTTTGATTACTATTTTAACGGCAGAATTTTAAATATTCAAGGAGAAAAACAGAAGAGGCACTTTTCTCAGATCTAGCTACTAGAAACAGATGAACAGAGGAGATACTAACCTGTAATGTAGTATCCTTCTTGTATTTTTTTCATTCTCTCAGGACCAGCTACTTCTGATCATGGGTGTATCTTTAACTACCCAAACCATATATTTTGTAGAGTGTTGTATATAAGCAGAGTAGGAAATTTATTAAGATCTGACAAGAGTGAAGCAGAAGAAGAAACACAAAGGTACGTTAAAGACGTAAACCTCACTCTCTGCTTTAAAAGTATGGAGCAGGATAGAGGAAATAAAGAAAGACATAAAAGTAGGAGTCTAGATTGTGTAATTGTTGACAAAAACAAGATTGTGTAAATGTGTCAAAAGATTTTACCATGTCTGATTTAAAGAAAAAAAATTAAAACATAAATAGAGTCGATCGGTTTTGCAGACCCAAGCATGGTTTTTTCAGCTAGGTCCAATCAAATTCGGATCAGTCACTGGACTTTTTTTTTTTTTTTTTTTAAGTTCTAGCCAGAGTAACCCGCAGACAAAGATTATGTATTGCATGTTTTAGGAATTATTACCACAAATGGGTTCTACAATGCAAACTATTTTAAACAATCAAATAATTGTAGTCTCACCTTTCTTTATAGACTAGGGAGATTGGGACCAGAGCCAGATTTAGAAATCTCCATAAAAATGCTATTAAATCAAGTCTTAATTAAGCCAAAAGGTATATATTATAAAGAAAAATAAGCCTTTAAACATAGATTTTGTCTGTTTGGTCCTAAGGAAAGGTCCTGATTGAAATTTCTGTACATTTTTAATCAATATTAAAACGTACATTAATAAGGATTTGGAAATAACATGCGATAAACTAACTAAAGAAGTGAACATAACAGAAAAACTACTGTTATTTATTTATTTGGAAATAATGGAAGAAATGGGATATGGATGTCGAGAGATAGATCTTTTGGCAAAATATAGCTGCTTCTAGATTACATAGACACATGGACTTGCACTGCAGCTCTTACGGAGCCTTGCCTAAAATGCCCCAAAACTCTTACAATAAACATATTGTAGCATATGATAAAAATCTATCTACACGTAAAATGTAACTCAATCAATTGTTTCTGTCACTTACGTACGGTTTCATAATAAAATTCACTTTTTAAATCCTTCTTAGTTGTTGACAACAACAAAAAAAAATCCTTATTAGTTTTTCTCAATGCATCTTTATTATACATAGTGTCTCTTTCGACTTGTGTACGAGAGTACCGTGTTTTAGTGAAATAAAATTGTTTGCATCATTCATGAATTTCAATACTAATATATCCATGTTTATTTTATGTTATAAGAAAATTTGTGTTCTTGACTTCAGATTAGGTAAGTTTGGTCACAGAAAGTGTGACGCAAGCATGTTAACTAATTTAATTTTTTATCACCCTCCACTGCTTGTGTAAAATCTACTAAAACCATCCGACCAGACAAAACTGGTAAAAAATTATTGATAAAATTTTCCGTTTAAATTTTTTATAAAAAATTGCAACGATTATTTTTTTTACAAAATTTTCTATAACAGATTTTGCTTTGTGATTAATTTTTTAAAAGCTTTTGTGATTAAAAAATTTATCTATAAAATGTGATTTTACTGTAGTTTCTGTGTCTTCAAGATTGATGTATTTCAAAATTTCGACTCTTTAAGATATCTTTTTACTTTGAATTCTTGATTTGTTGTCTTGTTAAGCATATGTAGGAGTGTGTTTAAGTGTATTGTGATTTTTTTCATCTTTCCATGTAGGTTTTAGTTGAAAAAAATAAATCTATTTGAATATAAAAAAAAGAGTGACAGTGATAGATCATGCATACGTACGTTCTGAAAGATTGTATAAGTTTTTAAACTCTTCAACGTTTTTAGAACACGTGTAATTCTTTTCACAATACTCCCTCTATTTCTAAATAATGTATTTTCTATAAAAAAAAAACAATTTGTTTCAAAAAGATAGATATTTTAGGTTTTTATGCAATATTTATTAGTTATTATTGATGAATTTGTAAACTTCAAGGAAAATAATTGGTTTAGAATTATAGAAAACTGTAAATAAGAAAAAATAATACATTTCTAATCAACTTTTAATATGTTTTCTTAATATTCCATCTGTTTCACAAAGAATGTCGTTTTAAAGTTTTAATTGTGTTTCACAAAGAGTGTCGTTTTGTGTTTTTAATGCAGTTTTAAGACTAAATTTCTTTGTTATACTACTATTTCAGCTTATTTATTAGAGAGATTGTGTTATCTAGTGTATTAATAAATGATAGAAATAAAATTTGTTTACTTTTCTTAATTTATGTGAAAAATGGTAGAATGACACTTTTAGTGAAACAAAGAGAGTACGTGTGAAAATTCTAAAAAGTACATTTTTTAGAAACAGAGGAAATATTCAAAATTGAATTAATCTTCATTTAGCGGCACTTTATAGTCAATTAGACCATCAGTTTGAAAGATACATTGGTTTGGTATGTTTTCATTATTTTGCAATATAAGTATATAACATTTACAATTTAAAAGTTAGTAACATAATAATAAAATAATCATTCGTTTGGTTTAGACTCTTAGCAATATTTCTATTGAATGTAAAATTACATCTTTCTTTTTTTTGTCAATGTAAAATTAGATATTTCTCCTATATATTTTTAACTCATAATCTTTTTTTTAGAATTTATATGTTTATATATATATATATATATACATATTTTTAAGGAATTGTGATAGTGCACACCTATGGAATATAGGAAAAGGTTTTGATGTGCAATCATATTTCGAGCACTTAACATTAGTGCAAGAGAAGATATACACAGTTAAAAAGGCTGGTTTGGAACTGCACCATACCCACCAGTTCCAAAATCCACTCAGGAAACCTCTTTCGTGCATTGGAAGACCTTTAATCAAATTTACAATCTCATCATCTTTTTTCTTCACTATAAGAGATTCACAATCCAAGTTTTAAAAAAGAAATCAAATTAATTATTTAACAAATATATTGCTTTATATTAATATTGTCTAATTTTTTTAATTAGAATTTTAAATAACAAAACTATCAAATGAAATATGCACGGTACAATTTTATTTTTTAAAAAAGCATGGCCACTATAAAATAACAAAAAAATCTCTTTACAGATTAACATAGAATTTCGATTCAGGATCTCTTATGTAACGTTATCAAGATCTTTTTTTTTTTGCTATGAACGTTATCAAGATCTTTAAAATTTGTATCATGCAAATTGTTCTATTCACTTGTTTTAGAGTTTTAGGTGAACTTTTTCTTAAAAAAAATAACCAGTCATTCAGTATATGAAAAAGAAAATGTGATATATAATGTGCGACAAGACAAAATTTCAAACACATTGAACATATGAAAGTCAACCGTTAATGAGAGAAACAAATTTATTCTCTGAGAAAAAAAGAAAAAAAAAAAATTATTCTCTGAAAAAATATTAAAGAAAAGTCCACGACGCAATATCTAGTTTTCCAGAGCACATGTAAAGGCAATGGATTGATAGTTCTTTAATAAATCTGTTCACACGTCGACTATATAATTAGACCTATAAATACGATATGAATTATTGCAATCATCTCCTGCAAATATAATACCATCGATTACACATCTTTATAATCAAAGATTTCACTATTCCAAAGATTTTATATTTTTTTCATAATTAGTAAGTTGCAATCATGCCTCTTTTTCATTCCTTGAATTCTAAGAAACCTCGATGCATTAGTTTAAATTTCTTTACACAGTTTACTACACCATAAATAATTATGGGTTTTCTTTTGTATATATCAATAATTGATCACTATAGATTTTGTTTAAGTAACTAGTATTTGCTCTCATGATCTTTAAGTCTTTTAACTTTAATTGACTTGATATTTTTTTGGCTTTAACGATTCTGTTTAATTTTATTTAATTGTTGTTCTTTACCACGAAGAGACTGTGTTTATTTATAATAAACGTGAATTAATATTTAAACATAAAAATTTATACAAATATAAAGTTCCTTTAAAACAATCAAAACTAATTCTTAATGGTTGTTCTAATAATATATAAATGGTACTTAATACATAGATAATTCACTAATTAAGTAATAAGTACATCCGTAAGAAAAAAACAGAAAAATAAATCCATTTTTAGAGTTGCCAAACTTCTTTCTAATAAAAAGATAAACGCATATACACATCGTTTGTAGTCTAAAATCCAAATATATGTGCTAGAGACTAGAGAGGAGACTAATATTAACATGTTTAGGTTCTCGGTTCAAAAAGATGTTAAACCTAAGACTAAAGATTATGAACCTAATTAAGACTTGGAACCTCTTGGTTAGAAATAAAAACCGATCCGAAAACTGAAATTAACTACGACAGTTTTGACTACCGCCAAAGCTAGCAAAGATCAGCCACTAGGCAAAATTTGACGCAAAAAATAGCTGGACAGTTTTATGAAAATGGTGCACATATGTCATATGATAAAGCATCTTGCGTTGAAAAGACAAAATCCCACTCTCCCACATCTCTTAAGCTTTACATTTTGTCAACTATATATCATATATAAATATAGATGAGCTTCTTTCATATTCTCTTCTAAACCGTCCAACAAAACCTTTTTTGGTCTTTTTTTCCCCCAAAAACATACAAGAAAACAATATCTTATTTACTTTACTTGTGGCCTATTTTTATTGATTAACACACCCATATGCTTAGACTTTCTTCATCATCTTCCATGGCCTTGAAATTCTCTCAAATTCTCTTCATAGTTCTATGGCTCTCTCTCTTTTTCCTCCTCCTCCACCACTTGTACTCCCTCAACTTCCGCCGTCTCTACTCTCTAAACGCGGTGGAGCCATCAGTGTCGAAGCAACACCACCCTAGCTACACCATTAGATTAGTAAGCAGAAAAACTCTCTCCCACAAATTCGACTTCACGCCTTTCCATAGCCGAGATAACAGCCGCCATGATCACCGTCATTCCGGTGAGCAATACGACGGTGATGAGATCGACCCTCGTTACGGAGTGGAGAAACGCCGTGTTCCCTCCGGACCTAATCCGTTGCACCATTGATGATTACACGTGTTTGGTATGTGTAGTAACATTTAAGACAAGATCAGACCTTTGCCTAGCTTTTTTGTTCTTTCTTTTTAATATAAGTCAGGTCTGAAAAGGGAAACAAATTAAAGATTAGAGCTTTTCTAAAAGGATACGTTTCTACAATTTGGTATTTTGGTTGTTCATACATTTTATTTTATTTTTTTCTTATTATTTTGACGATTTGTTTTTTGGTAAGAATTATTTTGACGATTGTATTCGTGAATATGTTGATATATAGTAGAGATATTGACATCTTGATTATTGTTTTGTTACCGTATGTATAGTAGTTATGTTGACTGTTATGTATATTGATTACTAGGAGTATTAGTTTTAATTTAAATAAAAAGAAATTGGTCGTTGATTACAATGATGAATGTTTAAATAATTGCTTTGACTTTGGGATTAGCCAACCAGTAGCTGCGACGGCACGTCACAACTCAGAGATATTCTAGATGCATTATTATACCAAAACTATACAACAATAAATGGTAATGAAGAGTATTTTTTTTTGTTTCACATGACCGAAATTTGGACTACAATTAAGTTTATAATTTCTTTCGATCATCAGTTCTCATTTTAACAAAATATAAATGAAGTAAAGAGTATAAACCAGATCAGAGAAACTCAGCCGATTTTTTTTTTAAAATGCATAGAAATGTAATTTTGTAAAAAAAATTGGTTTAACGTTAAAGACATTTATTTGGTACGTCTAAACATGACTTGAGGCGCCTCTAACGTTCTGTCTTTTCGATAGGAATAAGGAAATTGTCATTTTGCAAAAGCTTCACTTTCTTTCAATCTCAGGATGTGCCGACTTTTTACTATTTGATTTCTACACCAACTAAATATTATTATAAATTTTCTTTTTGACAATGACATTTTACATAATGCAAAAAGGGACCAAGAATCCAGTGGAAATGGTAAACTGACTGATTTAACAATTTTGAGTAAATTAATTGCATCTTGTATTATTAGTAAGATAGAATGAATTTATGAAAATTTTAAGGAACTGAAGAAGATTTTTTTTTTTTTTTAGCTCCATGAACAATGCTAATTAAAATAAAGAAATTTATCTTAACTCATAATGTTTTTTTTTTTCGTCGCTTAACTCATAATGTATAACACAAATAAGTTAATGTTAACTCATATGTAAAATGAGCTAACTCATATATGTTCAGGTTTCTGTCAGTTCAAGGATAAAACTATCTAAATTTGTTGAAACTGCTATTTACTAAACGAAAAATGAATTCATATTACGTGAACAAGTTAAAAACCTGTCTTTTTATTCATCAAATTGCCTCAAATTTTGTTTCATAAATGTTGTTATAAGATAAAAAGTCGCCCTTACACAATAGTCTAGAGACTCTGGTAGTGGTTGGGTGTCCATCATTTTTCAATGGACCCCTTTCAGATATTAGGTTTTGTGTGGCATAGTATTTTTTTTTTTTTTTTTTGTGAAAGTATATAGTATTGTATTAAATTTAGTATTTTGAAGAAAAGGCAATTAGAACAATCAATTATTTTATAAAAACACACTAATCAATTATTTCAAAAAATAGATAAATTTTAAAAGCTTTTTTAAGCATAATGCATGTGCTAAATGGAGTTAACTCGTTGTGAATAATCATTTGTTATAGAATATGATTCAGTGATGATAGAATAGACGATAAATAAACATTTAACTTCGTTTAATACTCTAAACTCTCCGACTCCAAAGACTTAATTTACATATTGCGGAAACCAAACACTCATAAAGTAAGAGATTCTTGTCTTTAACATTACTACATTAGCCATTACTAAATATCTCTGATAAGCAACATGGAATAATATGTACTTAAGAACTAAACCATCTAATGTTCTCAGAAAACAAACTTGGGCCGACTTGAAATCAAATTGGCCCAATTTGTGGATAACAAAATAAGCCCAAAAAGGCCCAATAATATTTTTCCCAGGAGCTAACGTCGTTTGCAAGTAGCACCGAAGAGTTTTTTTGGGGTTGGAGAGTGACGATTACAGAGTAGGTTTGTAACCGGAGGAGAAACTGTTTCACTTGCTGCTTCCACGACGGCGCGTGTCACAAAACCCACAAAGAAAGCTTTCAAATTTGAGCAATTCGCTTCTTCGATTCCTCAATTTCGCAAGTTGTGAAATTGGTGTTGTTCTCTCGTCCTCTCTCCTTTTAATGCATCTGGGTCACTAGGGTTTCGAACGGAAATGTTCACTCCGCAAAGAAATCGGTGGCCGGAGACTGACCGGAAGGGAAAGGCCATAGCTTTTTCCGACGAAATCATGACACCTCCCCCACAAACGATGCTTCTCCGAGAGAACGATGATTGGTTAAAGTTCAAAGAGGTTGGTTTGCTCGATGAAGCTTCTCTAGAAAGAAAAGATCGTGATGCTCTTATTGAGAAAATCTTGAAGCTTGAAAAAGAGGTTAAAATAAAGTTTCGATTTTTTTGCATTATTGTGTTACTGAATAATATTTGTGTTGTGAATTGAGAAAGTGTTTCAATTTTTGGCAGTTGTTTGATTATCAACATAACATGGGGCTTTTGCTAATTGAGAAGAAGAAGTGGACTTCAACTAATGAAGAACTTCAACAAGCTTATGATGAAGCTACAGAGATTCTTAAACGTGAAAGGACTTCGAATTTAATTGCTTTAAATGAAGCTGACAAAAGAGAAGAGAATCTTAGAAAAGCTTTGATCGCTGAGAAGCAATTTGTGGCTGAGGTATCTCATTTCTCAATTCATGTTGTTCTGTTTTGGTTTTCTTTGTGTTTGATGTTTATTAGATGTGACTGTTGTTTGTGTATTTCAGCTTGAGAAGGATTTGAAGTATTGGCAACAAGAACATTCTGTGGTGAAGTCTACTTCTGAGGAAAAGTTAGCGGAAGCTAATGCTTTGGTTATTGGTATGAAGGAAAAAGCTTTAGAGGTGGATAGAGAGAGGGCTATTGCTGAAGAAAAGTTTTCGGTGGTTAATAGAAAGAGTTCTGAGTTAGAACGGAAACTAAAGGAGGTGGAGACTCGTGAAAAGGTGCTTCAAAGGGACCATCTTTCGCTAGTTACAGAGTATGAACGATCACTTTTTACTCGTTCGTTCTGTTCCTTTGTATGTTGGTATGGAGATCTGACCTCTCATTTTCTCTTTTGCTTATGTTTCTTAGACGAGAAGCACATGAGGCAGTGTTTTACAAGCAGAGAGAAGACCTACAGGAATGGGAGAAGAAGCTTACACTAGAAGAAGATAGGTTGTCTGAAGTTAAAAGAAGTATTAACCATAGAGAAGAAATAATTATGGAAAAGGAAAGAACCATCAAGAAGAAAGAGAAGATCCTTGAAAACTTGCAGCAAAAGATTTCTATTGCTAAGTCAGAATTGACAGAGAAAGAAGAATCTATAGAGATTAAGCTAAATGACATTTCTTTGAAGGAAAAAGTGAGTTATCTAGTTGCAAATTATTTTTTGCTTCCTGTACCTTTTGGCTTATATATCAATTGGTTTCTGTTTTAGGACTTCGAGGCCATGAAGGCTAAAGTTGATATCAAAGAGAAGGAGCTCCATGAGTTTGAGGAGAAGCTTATTGAGAGGGAGAAGGTCAGCCTCAACTTTCCTGAAACTTTCTTCTATTTGTTAAATATATATCGCCTTTTCTTTCTTGGTCATTGTAACGGTAAGGGATGAATGAAAGGGAAAATGTGCATTTGTGTTTTGAAATTCTATTTGACAAACATACCAACTCACCTCTATTAGCTCCATAAATTTAATTTGTCATATACAGTGAGGCGTATACGCATTCACAATCACTAGTCTCTTAGTTGTTTGGGGATACACTGTCTTTTTTGTTGTGAAATGTTATCGTCGACTAGTTAACAAAATCAGAGTTTGTATACAGAGCTTGGGTGTAATTAAGAGGAATATTTTAAAACTATGGTGAAATTTCTTGGGGTACCTTGTCGATGCTAATGAAATTTAACAGATGGAGATTGGGAAGCTCCTTGATGATCAGAAAGCTGTTCTAGATTCAAGAAGGCATGAGTTTGAAATGGAGCTTGAACAGATGAGGAGATCCCTTGATGAAGAACTTGAGGGAAAGAAAGCTGAAATCGAGCAGCTGCAAGTTGAGATCAGCGACAAAGAAGAGAAGTTGGCTAAGAGAGAGGCATCTTTAGAAAAAATGGAGGAGGGATTGAAGGAGAAAGAGAAGGATCTTGAAACAAGTCTCAAAACTGTGAAGGAAAAAGAAAAATCTCTAAAAGCTGAAGAGAAAAAGCTGCATATAGAAAATGAGAGATTGCACGAAGATAAGGAATGTCTGCGTAAACTAAAAGATGAGATTGAAGAGATTGGGGCTGAGACAACAAAGCAAGAATCAAGGATTCGCGAAGAACATGAAAGCCTCAGGGTTACAAAAGAAGAGAGAGTCGAGTTTCTGAGGCTGCAATCTGAACTGAAGCAGCAGATAGATAAAGTTAAGCAAGAGGAGGAGTTGCTCTTGAAAGAACGTGAAGAACTGAAACAAGATAAGGAAAGATTTGAGAAAGAGTGGGAAGCTTTGGATCAGAAGAGGGCTGACATAACTAAAGAGCAAAACGAAGTTGCTGAAGAAAAGGAGAAACTGAGAAATTTGCAAATATCAGAAAAGCATAGGCTGAAGAGAGAAGAGATGACCTCAAGGGATAATTTGAAGAGGGAATTGGATGGTGTCAAGATGCAGAAAGAATCATTTGAAGCCGACATGGAAGATCTTGAGAAGCAAAAAAGGAATCTTGACATGGAGTTTCAGAGGCAAGAAGAAGAGGGTGAGAGAGATTTTAATGAAAGGGCGAGAACATATGAGAAGAGAAGCCAAGAAGAGCTTGATAACATCAATTACACAAAGAAGCTGGCTCAAAGAGAGATGGAAGAAGTGCAATACGAGAAGCTTGCTCTTGAGAGGGAAAGAGAACAAATTTCTGTCCAAAAGAAGTTGTTGAAAGAACAAGAAGCTGAGATGCATAAGGACATCACTGAGCTAGATGTACTTAGAAGCTCTTTGAAGGAGCAACGAGAAAAATTTATCTGTGAAAGGGAGCGTTTCCTAGTATTTCTGGAAAAACTTAAGAGCTGCAGTTCCTGTGGAGAAATAACCGAAAATTTTGTTATGTCTGATCTTCGACTACCTGATGTTGAAGATGGGGACAAACGTTTCGGGAAACAAAAATTAAAAGTAGAGGAAGCTTTGAACATTTCTCCCAGTGCAGAGAGTAGCAGGAGAACATCTTTGCTTGGGAAAATCGCTTCAAAGCTATTGAGCATATCACCAATTGGGAAAGATAAAGTCACTGATCTGGGTATAACGGCTAAGCTTCCAGAATCTTCGCAACCTGATGATACTCTGGATATAGTGTCAGGCGATGATCAAGAACCGTCTGCTACTGAACAGAGTTTCACAGATAGTAGAATACAAGATGGTCCTGAAGGTTCCCTGCAATCAGAGATAAAGAGTGATAAACCTAGACGAGGTAGAGGTAGAGGTAGAGGTAGGGGTAAGTCTGCTAGAGGAAGATCGCAAGCAACAAAAGCTGCCTCTAGAGATTCAAAACCATCTGATGGTGAAATTCCAAGGAAGCGACAACGTGAACAGACTTCTAGAATCACAGAAAGTGAACAGGCAGCTGGTGATAGTGATGATGGTGTAGACAGTACCACAACTGGTGGACGTAGGAAAAAAAGACAGATAGCTGTTCCAGTCTCTCAAACGCCTGGACAAAGCCGATATCAACTCAGGAGACATAGAAAGTAAGTTCGTACTTCCTTTTAATTGGAAAAATGAGTTTCAGGGATTACATATGAAGTCGTGAATTTTTTTTTTTGTTTGAATGTACTGATAATTAGTTGATCAAAATAAGAATGTTATGTACAATGGGAAAATCTTAAGAAACTAAAAACACCAACATTCTAGGTCCTTACTAAACGATTTCAGCTTCAGAAAAAGAAGAAAAGCCTTAGGTTCTTCCCGTAGGTGGTGATGAGTGAAATCGTGAATTTTATACGTGCGTGACTAATATTTGTATGGAAAATCTTTTTCAGTGTAGGAACAGAAGAAGATAAAGCACAAGCATCAATGGGTGCCACTAAAAAACAAGAGAGTGTCAATGGTGATATTAGAACAGTGCCAAGTCCGAAGGAAACTCTTACTCCACCGCAAGGTGAGAATAGAGAAAATGGCAAAGCTGAAGTATTCGTGGAGACGGTAACACATGAGGAGATTGTTAGGGTATGATTTTCTGAAACATTGAATTGGATGTTATTTTGTTCTGTCTGAGTGGAACATATGGGCATGTTAATCTTGGGATATATTTATTCGAACCATGATTTTTATACAGGTTGAAGTAGAGACTGAGTTCAAGGATAACAACACGGGAAATAGACTAGTCGAAGATCAGCAGTTGGAAGGAGGAGGCAGCGGTGAAATAAGAGAGCATGGTAAAGATGATGATGAGAATTTCAGCATGATCGAAGAGGAGAACGAAGGAGAAGAAGAAGAAGAAGAAACAGAGCGCCAAGGTGATGCTTCCATAGGAAAGAAGATTTGGGTCTTTTTCACAACTTGATCATTTTCTTTACTTCTCTCTAAAAGACAAAACTATATCCCACAAGTAGGATTTTGCAACATCTTGTTATGTGTTGGTTCTTTTTTAACTTCTTTTTCTTTTTCTAAGCAACTTTAAACAAAAAGGCATGGGCATTGTAGGAAATGTAACATTTGATTCTTACTCTGCTACTCCATAAGATAATGCTGGTATTCAAGGAACCAAACCAGAGACTCGAAGGTAAGTAACAAAGTTACATAAGTCATTGTCATGGACCTGACATCTTTTTTTGGTTATGTTTGCCTGAAATCGCCAAACCATAATAAAGTTCCAAAACACAAAACGGTAAAAAGAAGAAAAGGACTACACAATGGCTTATATGTAGGATCTTACCAAGATTTCAAACTTAATTGTATAGATTTATAGTGAGTAGATAGTAGATACGCCTCACCTTTCAATGTTAAGACAAAAAAGAGTGTGGTCCAAAACAAAGGACATGCAATTGCATCAAACTCACTCTTCATTACCACTCTCTTAGAAACATCCTCATTAATTTCTCAATGGCAAACTTCTATTAATGCTCTTAATTAACTAAATGTAAATTTACAAAACATTAGTTCCAACCAATTAAGCTTCTTCCTTTTGAGTTGTATTTTTAAGTTTTTTTTTCTTCTTAAAAATTATTTTTTCAGGAAGTATAATAACTGTTTTTGAAGAAAGGGACAGTTGATAGAATTTCAGAAACCTATAAAGAAAAATATTATAAGAAAATAAAATAAAAATGTGGAGGTTGCAGAATAAACAGAGTCCTTAGACCATGATTAACAAGAGGATCTTAAGATTTTCTTAGGATGATCTTAGCAATTAAATGATTAAAATTAATTCCCAAATAAGCTTTAAAGCTAAGGTGAGTTGCTTACCTAAGAAACAAATACACACTTAAGAACCAATTTCAAGAGCCATTTTTAAATTTATTACTTTAATATTCCTAAGAGCCATTTTTAAGACACCCTTGATAATCATGCTCTTATAAAAGACTTGATCTTCTCTGTCTTTCGCTTTCACTTGCATTATCAACACAAGGTGTTGGACCTCTCTCTTCTTATCATTTTCATTACCATTATTGTTTCTATGCTTTGGTAACTGTGTCTTGCTTTTAAAGATTTGTCTTTTTTTTTTTGGTTTATAAATTTTAATTGCTTAATGCTAAGTCGTTGTCTAAAACCTCTGGCTATGTACCCTATAACTTCACAACTTAATTCAATTTGCTTCTACTCTATGTATAAAACCAGCTATGAAAATGTTAAACATTGTAACTTTGTAAGATCCTTTACATTTTCTTTTTGTATTTATCAAATATTTGTCATCTTGTAGACTGATAAAGGTTCTTATATAGGTGTCTATATCCATACACATAAAGCTGTGTAATATGTAATCATAAGTTAGAGAAACAGATTTGGCTTTTCCTTTGGTGCTCTCTGTTGTTGTGTCTTCTTCTTGGCATCTCCTCTATATTAAACCCTAAAGAGAAAACAAAACAGAGAAACCTCTAAAGCTTTCTCTTTTGTTCACATGACATTTTCTTGTCACAAACCAAACTCTATAAGAAAAAATCTTGTATACAAATCAACCAACATTCATTGTTTTCAAAAGGGTCCCATAACCCATTGTGGTGATAGCTTTGTTTTCATCTTCCAACATTAACACCCACCCCAAATTCTTGATTACCTTTGATAGAAACATATGCAACAAGTTGAATAATTCCAATACAGATAAGATCCACACAACACTTTTTCTCCTTCTCTTTCTCTTGTATTTTCTCATTATAGTCTCAATGAAGATGCTTAGATTAAGAAAGAAGCAACATTTGGTGTTTTTACTATGTGTGTGGTGTTTGGTGGTGGATTTGAGCAAGGCAGAAACAGAGGAAAGTGAAGGAGGTCCCATGGAGAAAACAGAGCAAGCTGCTCTCTACTCTACCATTCAAGGCTTTGTTGGTGAATCTTGGAATGGTTCTTATCTTTATCCTGACCCTTGTGGCTGGACTCCTATTCAGGTCATTTCTCTCATCAATATTCTTTAATCTCATTTGAGTCCTTTCAAGAACAACAACAAAAAATATCAATTAAAAAAGAAAAAAACTATCTTAGTAATGTTTTAAGTCTATCAAGATTATGATTCTTGAATTCGAAAGCCGATGAAAATGGTTGAACAGCTGAAGTAATTCTCTGTTGTTAACTCTGCAGGGTGTGACTTGTGATATGTATGATGATCTTTGGTATGTAACTGCTCTAAGCTTTGGGACTATGAAAGACAACTCTCTTGCTTGTTCTGAAATTCCAGTGATCAGACCACAACTTTTTGAGCTCAAGCACCTCAAGTCCCTCTCTCTTTTCAGCTGCTTCACATCGCCTAACCGATATCTAGCTTCAATCTCGGATGAGAAGTGGTTGGATCTCTCTAAAAGCTTGGAGAGACTTGAGATCAGATCAAACCCGGGACTGATAGGTGAACTTCCTTCTGTCATCACTAACCTCACCAACTTTCAATCTCTGGTGGTGCTAGAGAACCAGTTAACAGGTCCATTGCCAAAGAATTTGGCCAAGTTAACCAGATTGAGACGGTTAGTACTGTCTGGAAACCGGTTCACAGGGAGAATACCGGAGGTCTACGGCTTAACCGGATTGTTGATATTGGATCTGAGCCGGAATTTCTTATCTGGGTCGTTGCCCTTAAGCATTGGAGGATTGGATTCTCTGCTGAAACTCGATCTTAGTAACAATTACTTGGAAGGAAAGTTACCTAGAGAGCTAGAGTCTTTAAAGAATCTGACTCTTTTGGACCTGAGAAACAACAGATTCTCAGGCGGATTGACTAAAGAGATCCAAGAGATGAATTCTTTAGTAGAACTGGTTCTGTCCAATAATCGCCTAGCCGGGGACTTGACAGGAATAGAGTGGAGAAATCTGAAGAATCTAGTGGTTCTTGATCTCTCCAAAACAGGCTTAAAAGGGGAGATTCCTGGTTCAATCTTGGAGCTCAAGAAACTGAGGTTTTTGGGTTTGAGCAACAACAATCTCGGAGGCAAACTCATTCCACAAATGGAAACTGAAATGCCTAGTCTCAGCGCGCTCTACGTGAATGGAAATAACATCAGTGGAGAGATGGAGTTCTCTAGAAAGTTCTATGAGAAGATGGGAAGGAGACTTGGTGTTTGGGGGAACCCTAATCTGTGTTACAACGGAAATGAGATCAAGAACCTTAGCGATCATGTTCCTTTTGGAGTGAACCAATGTAAGAGAATTAAGGCAGATAAATATTAGAACAATCAACGGGTTTGTGATAACAATAACTTGGAATTTGGAAATGATACAAAGCTGTGGTCTTTTCAATTTGGTATTTTATTTAACGCTACAGAAACCCTTGAGAACAAAAATATATAATTTCTTGTTTGATTCTTGTTTTTGTTATTTTACTAGTTGATCCTTGAGGTATTTACATACTAACAAACATATAACTAAAAACCCCTAAATCAATTTTATGAAACCCTTAAATCGGTTTAATCCAAGATTACTCCCGGTGGGACTTCTATTTCTAACAAACGAACTACAAGTAGAGTTGGGTTGGGGAATAATTCTCTCCGATAGTCGTTTAGGGAACCACGGTCCAATTTAGAGTTGGGTCTTTTATGGAACCACGGTCCAACTCTACTTGTAGTTAATTTTACTTTGTAAATCACTTGCCAATCAAGCCCGTAGTCTTTTCGGTTATGCATTTATTTAACTTTATAACAAACTAAGAACCCAAATTATATAATCTCTTGTTTGATTCTTTCTTTCCTTTTTGTTACTAGTCTAGTGTGGCCTTCAAGGATCACACATAGTGTGTTATAATTAAAACGAGGAATACCATTATACTATATACTAGGATATGACCCGCGGTGTACAGCGGGTAATTTTTTTTTTTTTTTTTAATTTTGTTATAAATGGATGAATTTGATGTATTAATTTTTTTTCGTTTTATTGGTACCGTAACGTAAGTTTGATTCTGTACGGTTTTTAATAAGATGTAACTCTGTGATATTTTAAGTGTAACAATATTTGGTTTTTATATGGTGAATTTACCATGTGTCACACCTCGGGGTTTCATTGTGTAACTAAAAATTTAAATTTTTGTATTTGTTCAGTTAATATTGTTTGTTATATTTTGTGTTTAATATTGTATAATTATATTTTGATTGTTAATTATAGGATTTTATCCGTAGTATACTGTCATATATTAATATCGATCCAAACCCGTCCCGTCATATAACTCCGTCCCGTGATAATTATTACAATTGATCTCTGGGCACAACTGAAGCATAACCAAGAACAAATTCCTATGTCTTATTGGTATCTAATTTCTGTTTACATTATATATTTTTAATAAATATTTTTTTTTTATTAATTTACGCTATTTTATATCTTTCCATTACTTATAATATACTATTAGACCAACCCGTAAAAAACTATATAATCGTATATATGAAATCCCTAACCCATTCCATCACATTATTTGCGATCATTTAAATTTGTTTATCAAGTTAAAATATTGATAATAACATTTTTTATATAAAAAACATAATTCACAACAAAACAAAACAAAGTTGGAGTACTTAAGATTTAACTTTATATTACACATTTTTTCACTTGGGTCTAACAAAAAACATAACAGCCCATTAGTCATATTAGCCCAAAACAACAGAAACATAAATCCACGTCCCTTTGTTGTCTTTTCTCCTTCTTCTTCCCACGATTCTCTCTTGCGACCAATGACGAATACTTCGTCTTCTTCCTCTACTTGTTAGTCTCATTGTTCTACATCATCATCTTCTCACTCTCATATCTAATCATCTTCTCTTGCTCAATTGCAAGCTTAATCGAAGACTCAACCTTCAACAAATCTGAATAAGCAACCACAAAAGGCACAAAACCAAAAGATCGGATCTTTCATCAGCTTCTCACTTCAAATTGCTTCATCAATTGTTTCACTTAAGTATTCTATCACTCTCGTCTCCAATTTTATCAAGTGATCATCAAATTGATGAGTTTTGCAATTAGACAAAAAGACGTTTCTTACAACATGCGGAACGATGTTCTTCCATAATCTCTTTTCGCCGATTAGATCCTTCTCGGGGATTTCTTGGAGACTTATGTAATTCACATCGATTTAGTTGTACCTTTATAGATCGCCGGTAAGTCATACCCCTTATACAATCAATTTTTCTTCATATGTTTCGTTCACAAATCTGTATAATTTCTGAAATTCTAATGCAAATCCTATCTTTCTTCAATTGGGTGTGAATTATTGCAAAGAGAAGACGGATACAATGATTTAACACAAAAAGAAGACTGGAGACGAAAACATCGATTATCTTAATCCGGGAAAGAATTATACGAATTCGATGCGTGGTCAGAAACACATAAATCATCATTCTAGAAGGTTAGATTCTCAGACTTTGTTTTAGATCATAATATTTATTTTGTTTTATCGATTAGGACGGAATCTATACATGTGTATACGTTTGAATAGTATGTTAATTTATACGAAATCACAGTTTCTTTGAGCTAAATCTGAGTTAAATCTTTTAGCAGTTTTTGATGATCCTCTTCCTACAGAGAACTGCGCAGAAGATTTTGTGAAAAGAGTTGAATCATTGTCTTCGATGGAAAATAACTCTGCAAAGCTTGAAAATGGCAGAACTCCACATTGTTGGACTTTTTTCAGTAGTAAACAAAGTTTCTCAGGTTAGTTTCTTCAAAGCTATACAAAATAATGTAAAAATATAGAAATAAAATGGGTTTCCTTCCTCTTTTCCTCATAGGAAAACATCCCAACAGTCACGGCATAGAAAGTTAGAGCTGGGATGCTTCAAGGTGTGGAAATCGCATTGGGGTTTCCTGAAGGCTCGATTCCTAAACCCGTTTATACACGTCTCATTGACTATTGAGACATTGTCAAAAAAAAAAAGGTATTAGTCGTTTGCTGTGAATTGCTGGATGCGTTAGAAATGATAGAGAGGTTTGATATTTATAGTGAAGTATAATGTTAGGGTTTTTGGCTCGAAAATCTTGGAGCCGAAGGAAAAAATATTGGATATATTAACTATCACATTTTCTTGATTTTTATCAAAATGAATGATTCACAAATTTAGGCAAAATTAGGATATTGCGTAGTAGTTTATAGTTAGGATTAGATTAGATTATATATTTTAGAAGATTTGTTTAGTAATTAGTCGAGATTTAGAGAATATAATTAGGCAATATTTTAATTAATTAAATGGCAATATTTTACTCCGAAATCTTTGCTAATGTTTTAGGAAAGTCTCATAAGTGTAGGTCTAACGTTTAATGCGGGTCATTTAGACATTGTTAGGATTTGGTAGATTAGGAAAGTAACTAAGCGAATATTGAGTCGAATTACTTGATTTTTTTTTTGGCAAGTATTATTTAAAAGGATCCGAGAGCTGTGATTGGCCAATGAGTCGGGTCAAAAAATCTAATCGGGTCAAAATCTTTTTAAAAACCCGACCCGATTGGCTTTGAGCAAATTTGTACTTCAAAAATGTTAAGTAGATTAAACTTTCTCCCTTACTAAAAAAGTATTTACATACTAACAAACATTAAATAATATGTTTTATTGCTTATAATTAATAACTTATTTTTTAGTATATAAAGATGTGTTTCCATCAAAGTAGAAGAAGTGTATGACTTTTTGCGACATGTCTAAACGTAGGAGGTATGTTGGAACTTTACTTTATTTTGGCATTTCATAAATGAAATATCAAAAAGTCTTTTTAGGGAAAAAAAAAAAAAGTAATCCGTCAAGAAGTCCGATATAGATGCAGAAATCAGGTGGATATCCAAATCAAAATTGGTATAATTTAAAGAAAAATGTGAATCATGGAAAGCCACTTGTCAAGTTGTAAAATTTTGTGTATAACTGAGTCAACCCTCTAAGCTACTTTTTGTTCCTCTCTTAATTTCTTAAAATACCTTCTCACGCAAAAGATAGAGTTGGTATACATTGTTTTTACGTGTTTCATGCATGAATTTTCAGTATCTTTCATGTGTATATTCGTTTAATTAAATTATTATATTTTTTCGTATCATGATTAGCCGACGACATGTTATCATTTATTGTTCTATTCCTTTTACTATACATACGTGTATTGTATACCACTTTCGTCCAAGGATGATATCTAATTTTCTTTCTGCACGACATATATTTTGTGCTTAAGAAGGCTCATGTCTGATAATTTGAACTCAAAACTAACCTTTTCATATTTTTTTTAGTACCAATGATATGTATTTATACCATTTTCAAAATTTTAACAGAAGATATAGAAAAATAGTAGTAGCGAAAGAAACCAAAAAGCTAATGAAAAAAAGAAGACAACTACAAACAAAAACACAACAAAAAAAGCACAAACGATAATCTTTCTAGTAAAGTCTCGAGAAAAAACACCGATTCCAAACCGCGAACCTCTTACATTTGTGTGATTGCTCAAAAGCTAACCTTGCTTTACCATTCATATAATCTTGTGATATAGTTACTGTTGAAAGTTGAATTATACAAAAGAAAACAAAAGATAGCCTCATAGTGACGATGTCTATAAAACGATGGAAATATTCATCCCGTCAACGTAGTTGTACATATATTCGAAATGATGAAATCTTGAAAAACGACCATCCCATCAAACCAGATTCTCATTTCGTAGCATAAAATGGACTTCTATGTCTATATAAAAATACAAAAGAAAATAAAGTCGAAGGCGGCGACTAAAATAACGAGAAAAAACTCTGCCTTTGAAAACTTAAGAATTCTTATAAAATAATACGGAAAATTCAAAGTCTCATTAGCGTGGGATTCACTCCTCTCTTACCATTCCCCGACTTCCCCCTCATTTCCGCCACACTTATTTCCAATCAAATCCACACACACAAACACACATACACACATGTTATAAATATAACACAGTCACATACACATGATTCATTCATTACTTAAAAAAGTGGAAGTGAAAACTAGAAAAAGAGAGCAAAAAAAACATTGATTACCAAATGGCTCCGTGTCGTACGATGATGGTTCTGCTCTGTTTTGTTCTGTTTCTCGCAGCGAGTAGTTCGTGTGTGGCGGCTGCAAGAATCGGAGCTACGACGGAGATGAAGAATAGAAAGAGCTTAGGGTTTAAAAACAGCCATATTTTTGGTTACTTACCTAAAGGCGTTCCCATTCCTCCTTCTGCTCCTTCTAAGAGACACAACTCTTTTGTTGACTCTCTTCCTCATTGATTTACATTTCATTTTATTCATTGTATTCTTTTGGGTTTTATTTTGTAGATTAGATCAACACAGGGTATACTCTTTGTATATGCATACGATTTATATATACTTTTGAATTTGTTCCTTTTTATGATTATGGACTAATATCTGTTTAAGGTCATGATGGCCATATAAAGATCAAGAAATGGATTAAGCCCCTTCTTATGAATTGATTTATACTTTAAAGAATATTCCATAGACCTCACTCATCATAAGCTAATGAAACATATGTTATTCTTAATCTTGTCATGTTCTTTAACTATTTCATATCCGTAACAAGAACAACTTTATCCTCGATTAGTCGTCTTACTACTTTTGGTTTTTATGCAACTTTTGTAACATTTGTCTTTCTCATAGGTCGATGTTAGAGTTAAGAACATGATAATCTAACATAAATAAATACCCCATGACATAGAACAAACAGTTATAAGTTTCAACAACAACAAAGTCTAATTAGAAAAACAGAGACCAAAAATACAATAAAAAGGATAAGAGAGAGGGGCATTCCGAGAATTGAACTCGGGACCTCTCGCACCCTAAGCGAGAATCATACCACTAGACCAAATGCCCATTTTGCAGCATTCAGTCACAAATCAACAATTTACTCATACATCTATCAGTCTCCACCACCATGAGTGAAAGGATTGAAACCACTTCCAAACAATTTCTCAAGTGGCCAAAACAAAGGCTTTGGTAGATTCTCCCAATCATACCAATCCCATCCTTCACTCTTCTCTGGTTCCATATTCTTCGGTTCTTGACTTGGATCCACCAACACCGCACGCATCGAAACAGAGACGTAGTGTGCTGGCTTTGGTGCTTCTTTGAATACATTGTTTGTTACAGTCAAAAGCTTCATCTTTTCAATCTTTAGACCTGTTTCCTCCATGACTTCTCTCGCTGCACATTCTTCAAAGCTCTCACCTGCTTAAAGAACCAAGATTAGCTCAAATCAAGATTTGGGAGAAATAGAGGGAGAGAGGAGAGAGACCGAATTCGAGGTGGCCGCCGGGAAGAGCGAAAGTGGAGTTTCCGATTGAGGAACGGCGGCGACCTAACAAGATTGAGTTTCCGTTGAGAATGAAAACGACGACGGCGACTCTTGGTATCGCTTCTCCTGTCGCCATTATTTGTCGAACACAGTGAAACCCTTTCTTGTCGTGCTTTAACTTTTGTTGACTTATTTGCGTTTAAACGGTGTCGTATTACTTCTGCCTTATTTAGCTACTGGCCCAAATGTGTCGGTGTGATTGGCTTACACAAATATCGCTGTTTTTTCCATTGCACTTGTTTTCATTTTTTTATTTTATTTCTCAAACGAGTCTTTTGACTCTTTTCCCTCACTTCATTTATTGTTAAATTGTTTATGGAATTGAAGAACAGAGAACTGGATTAGCAAAATGAGAATATAATATTGAAAGTCTAAATTATCCCCTACTAGCTTCATCTTCTTTACAAAAAAAACTAAGATGATGTACGTTATGATGTTGCTATAATGAGAACGGTTCTGTATTAAAAAAAAACACAGATTTTGTCATTTGTTAGCTAATAAAACTTAGCAAATGATAAATCATATTTGACTCTTTTAATATAACAATCAGCAAAAAAATCACTTAGAATCCCTATGGGTACATTTGATAAAATTGGAATGATAGAGAGAAGATTAGCATGCATGGCCGTGTGCACAAACATAATACGGACAATTAATTCGAGAAATGGTCAGAGAATCAAGTACAATGATAAAATAAAGTTAGTTAAAATCGGTTATTCCTCCGTAAATTTTTTGTAGAATTTCCTTCCTTTTTATTATATCTAGTTATTTACTTGTTTAGAGGAGAAAAGAGTACAAAATCAAAGTTTGGAAATGAAGAAGAATAGGCCCCAAATTTTTACGGGAAAGAGAAGTAACACCACAAATTTAACTAGGCCATAATTTACTGCATTGACCACCATAATTAGTAAGTCCCATAGTTAACCATAAATCACTTTTAGAAATACTTAACTTTTATCACTAGAACTCCCATTATTCAATATTCATTCCTTCACTCTGTTCACCGATACAATGACGGACACTACAGACGATATCGCGGAGGAAATCTCATTCCAAAGCTTCGAAGACGACTGCAAATTGCTCGGCAGTCTCTTCCATGACGTGTTACAAAGAGAAGTCGGTAACCCATTCATGGAAAAAGTCGAACGCATTCGGATTCTTGCTCAGGTTTCATTTTCTATCTATTCGCTTCGATAAGAGCTTTAAAATTTCATCTATTACTTGTCCAATTATTTAATCTGCGTAGATCATTTAGGAATCTCACATCGTATAGTAGTAATAAAGAGATATAAGATCAATCCACTTATCGAAATAAATAGGAATGATACAACTTAATTATTTTATGGTTCTAAACGTTTCAGAGTGCGTTAAATTTGCGTATGGCTGGTATTGAGGATACCGCAAACCTTTTGGAGAAGCAATTGACTAGTGAAATATCCAAAATGCCACTAGAGGAAGCCTTAACGTTGGCTCGTACATTCACTCATTCTCTTAACTTAATGGGCATTGCAGACACTCATCACAGGTCATGATATTTTTCTTAAAACACATTACAACAAAAATATTTACAAGTAATAATAAACATGCATAGTGTTGCTTCTAAATATAAACATTTCTTTTTTCAGAATGCATAAAGTCCATAACGTTACACAACTTGCAAGATCTTGTGATGATATATTCAGCCAGCTTTTGCAAAGTGGAATTTCTCCAGAGGAACTTTACAATACTGTTTGCAAACAGGTCTAGCTACTTCATATTGTATCATTATAGAAACATTTCAATATGTTTATCTAACACATAGGTTGTATCTGAGTGTCGTTTTCTCAATTTGATATTTGATTGTTTATCGCGCTTTAGGAGGTCGAAATTGTTCTTACTGCTCATCCTACTCAAATTAATCGACGAACCTTGCAGTACAAGCATATTAGAATTGCTGTAAGTTTCTAATGATGTTAACATATATGGATTATATCTCTGTCTTTAATTTTAATCGAGAGTTTAAATTATATGCTTCTTGCAGCATCTTTTAGAATATAACACCAGATCAGATCTCAGCCTTGAAGATCGCGAAACACTCATTGAAGATTTGGTACTCTCCATCTATCAATATCTTCCATATAAGTTTTCTCAGCAGAGTAACTATAATAAACTAAGAGTTACTTCTATACTTTAAAGGTTAGAGAGATAACTTCACTATGGCAAACTGATGAGCTTAGACGTCAGAAACCTACTCCAGTTGATGAAGCTAGAGCTGGTACGTTAAATAATCTACTTTGTAAAGTTTATAAAATTTCATTTGGCATACTGTTTTTTCAAAAAACTTTTAAATTCATTAGGTCTGAACATTGTGGAGCAATCTCTTTGGAAAGCTGTACCACATTACCTGCGTCGTGTCAGCACTTCCTTAAAGAAGGTATGATTATACCTTTAGATTTCTAGGATATATATTGGGAAAAATATGAATAATACTTATACTTTACCTTAAGATAGTATTGATATTTTGTATTTTGTTGGTTAGTTCACTGGGAAGCCACTTCCACTAACATGCACTCCTATAAAATTTGGTTCTTGGATGGGAGGTGATAGAGATGGAAACCCAAATGTCACGGCAAAGGTTAGTCTTTTGATATTTTACGGTTTGAACTCAAAACCAATTAACCGGTAATGAATAAAGTAGTCCATGGTCGTTATATATTACTCTAGGTCATATCTCACTTGTAATATGAGATTTTTTAACATTTACTTTTTCATGAAGAAAATCTTTACTGCAATCAGAAACTTTGATTGTCTAGATAACACACTTGAATGTTGTTATATCATTTGGTCCAGGTCACGAAAGAAGTATCTCTCTTGTCTAGATGGATGGCTATCGATCTGTACATAAGAGAGGTTGATAGCTTAAGATTTGAATTATCTACGGATCGATGCAGTGATAGGTTTTCAAGATTAGCAGATGAAATTCTTGAAAAGGGTATATATATTTTTCAGATTCTATTAAATCTTTACTTCTTCATTCATAAAAAAAAAAATTTCTTCTAAAATCTTAAAAGTTGATGTTTTTTCCCCCTCAGAAAATTCTGAAAAAGATTATGATAGAGGCCAATCAAATTTCCAAAAGCAACAAAGTTCATCATCCTTGCCAACACAACTTCCAGCTAAAGCTCACCTTCCTTCTTGCATTGGTAAAAAGATTTCTTATATTTTGCATTTGGTAAATATTTCAAAACTGTGCATGTTTTATATCCCATCCCATTGCAGACTTTGGTGAATCACGACATACCAAATTCGAAATTGCGACGACAGATTATATGCCACCCAATCTTCAGGTAAAGGAAAACCTTTAAATATGCTTGACATATACATGAAACATACTTTGCTGAATTGCTCCATTCTTGAAAATTCTTTTGAATATTTTTTCTTTAATTTTTGTTTATATAGAAGCAGAATGAACAAGACTTTCCGGAAAGCAACTGGGAGAAAACTGACAATGGTTCGCAAACCGGTCTTACTTCTCGAGGTTCTTTCTCATCTACTTCTCAACTTCTTTTACAGAGGAAACTATTTGAGGAATCTCAGGTTGGGAAGACTAGTTTCCAAAAGCTACTAGAACCACCTCCACTTAAACGAGCTGGAAGTGCTCCTTATCGTATTGTTCTTGGAGAAGTAAAAGAAAAGGTAAAGATCATAAGATTCTAGCTTAATCAAGATAATATAAAGATTCAGATTTAGCATGTCACAACTAAGTGCTTATCAAAATTAATGATTTGTGATCATAGCTTGTGAAGACAAGAAGACTTCTTGAACTTCTAATTGAGGGTCTTCCTTGTGAGTATGACCCTTTAAACTCCTATGAAAAATCAGATCAACTTCTTGAACCATTGCTCCTCTGCTACGAATCTCTGGTACTAATTTTAACTCCATGTAAAAATGGGCTTTACCATAATAATTTATGATCTTCAAATTTTAACATCATTTATTTTCTCAGCAATCATCCGGTGCTAGTGTACTAGCTGATGGACGACTTGCTGATCTCATCCGTAGAGTTGCTACCTTTGGAATGGTTTTGGTGAAACTTGATTTACGCCAGGTGATTTCTTTTTGTAATCCTCTTGTTTCGGCCTCTTAGGCAGTGATACATTTCTCTAATTTATGAGTGATTCAATTACTAGGAATCTGCAAGACATTCTGAAGCTTTGGATGCAATTACAACATACTTGGATATGGGTACTTATAGTGAATGGGATGAAGAGAAAAAATTAGAATTTTTGACCAGAGAACTAAAAGGGAAACGACCTCTTGTTCCTCCATGTATTAAGGTCATAATGAAAAATCTATTGCGGATACTACAAGAAAGAACCATATGATGATATGAAAGTTGTTAAGTTTTATTTATTTATCTGTTTTTATTTATGTAGGTTGGTCCTGACGTCAAAGAAGTATTGGACACATTCCGAGTCGCTGCTGAGCTTGGAAGTGAATCACTTGGAGCTTATGTTATTTCTATGGCTTCAAATGTATGATTTCTCCAAATAAAAACGTGACGATTTTTCACATTTTCATCCGCGAAGAAAAAAATGACATTTACTTGTTTGCGACTTGCAGGCAAGTGATGTCCTCGCTGTGGAGCTTCTTCAAAAAGATGCTCGACTTGCTATAACTAGCGAACATGGAAAACCATGTCCCGGTGGAACGTGAGTTCAAATATCCACCAAAAATATTACATTGTTTCATACTTATTTTTAGCAATCACTTTATAATTATTACATACATGAGAGAAACATTTTGAATAGCATTAAAAACTCTTACTACTATCTATCTATTTGAATAGGCTACGAGTGGTACCTCTTTTCGAAACGGTGAATGATTTAAGAGCCGCTGGTCCTTCAATAAGGAAATTGCTCTCAATCGATTGGTATAGGGAACACGTCCAAAAGAACCACAACGGTCACCAAGAGGTACATTATGCGTAAATTTAAACATTTTAATTTCGAAGGGAGCCTCTAAGAACTTGGAACAATGTTACTTGTAGGTGATGGTTGGATACTCTGATTCAGGAAAAGATGCTGGACGTTTTACAGCAGCATGGGAACTCTACAAAGCTCAAGA